TCTCTCTCTCTCTCTCTCTCTCTCTCTCTCTCTCTCTCTCTCTCTCTCTCTCTCTCTCTCTCTCTCTCTCTCTCTCTCTCTCTCTCTCTCTCTCTCTCTCTCTCTCTCTCTCTCATCTGACACAAAAAGGGCGGCAACAGACGGCTGCGCATCCCCCGACTGCCCGGCCCCCAAGCCGCCCGACCACCCGTGCTGCGCCGACCACCGGTGCGCCACGCCCGACTGCATGACCGCACGTTCCGGCCGCCCCTTCCGCCACTGCGCAACCCACACGTGCGAGGTCGAAGACTGCACCACGGCCTGCGAAGGAGGCGGCAGCCCAGGCTCGGCGACGCGCCGCTGCCCGTCGCACCGGGCTTGCGCCGCCGACGGCTGCGGGCGCGTCTGCCACCGCGGCGACGACGGCGGCACGGGCGCCTACTGCGGCGCCCACTACTGCCGATTTCCCGGGTGCGGGGCGCCGCGGTGCGAGACGGTGCCGCTGGGTGGCTACGGCGGGTACGGGCACGTCGATGAAGGGACCACCGCCATGGTGCGGGTGCTGCCGGCGGCAGAGGCGGCCGTCGAGCGCGCGCTGGGCTGGGGCGCGTACTGCGAGGGCCACATGTGCAGGTACGGAGGGGGGTGCGGGAGGCCGCGGGCGGCGCCGCCGGGCATGGGAGGGTTGTGGTGCGCGTCCCACGAGTGCGCGGCCGAGGGGTGCAGGGAGCGGAGGCGCCGCGGCGGCGACTGGTGTCTGGACCACGTGTGCGAGCGGAGGGGGTGCGTGAGGCAGGCGGTCGTGCCTGGTGGGGAGGGGTACTGCGAACGGCACAGGCGGTGCGATGTCGTCAACTGCAACGAGGACCGGTGGGCGGAGGGGGAGAGGGTTGATGAGCAGTGTGGGAAGCGTGAGTTCCTTTTTTTCTTCTCTAAACAAACCCCCTTGATGACCAACAACCCAACTAACACAACTGTCTAAAAAAAAACAAGACAACTACGTCCCCTGCCGCTGGGACCGCTGCGAAAAGCGCTGCATCCCCGAGTCCTCCCACTGCGAGGACCACGTGTGCAGCCACCGCGCCTGCCCCGGCGGCCGCCTGCCGGGCGGCAGCATCTACTGCGGCGCCCACAAGTGCGCCGTCGCCGGCTGCGACGCCATCCGCCGCGACCCGGACGCGGCTACTGCCCCACCACCGGGCGCGCTTCCTTACTGCGCCGACCACGGCTGCCACGCGGCTGGCTGCGGGGCGCAGGTGGTAGGGGTCGGGAGGCGGCACTGCGGGACGCACGAGTGCGCGGCCGCGGCCTGCGCGGACCTCGGGACGGTGCCGGCGCCCATGGGACATCCGGCGCTGGGCGGTAGGGCGGCGGTGGCTGGGGTTGTGTTATGCGAGACGCACTTTAGGGGGTATGGTGGGTATGGTGGGTATGGCGGGTATGGGGAGTATGGTGGCGGAGGAGGGTGGTTGCCGGGGCCGGGGCCGGGGCAGTGGATTCCGGACGCTGACGGGGGAGTGGAGAGGGGTGCCGGTATTGGATTTGGGGATTTCTTGGGAGGGATATTTGGTAGTGGTGGTGGCGGTGGTGGTGGTGGCGGGCCGCCATGGGGTGGTGGTGGAGGAGGAGGAGGCGGTGGTGGTGGGCGCAGTGGGAGACGGCAAAGGGGTGTTCATCTATTTTTCGACGACCCTCACGGCTTGGGCCATGGACCTGCCAACGGGATTCAGTAACGCCGCGTTGCTTTTGGTTTGTGCTGTTTCCAAGGCTGTATAATATTTTCTCAGGGTATATTTTGTAATAAGATATGTTGCTTATTTCGGGGCCTAGATACAAATCCCACGCCGCAAAGCAGCTATGGAGTGTAAATGAAACCATTACCAAGCATTCCCAGCACCGTGATAAATATGTAAACCTCTCCCTCTAACGAGCCCGTGTCTTAATCAAGGCTGCTGCTCCCATGGTGGCTACGACTACGCGGGCTGCGAGGGTGACTCTGCCCACGGCTCGGGCCGGCCTAGACACACACACACACACACACACACCAGTCAGTCACCCTCTACTCGGCATCAACCCGAGCTCACACAGGTCTCCCCGAGGCCAACTCACCTGACTCTGCATCTCAATATCCACATCCACCGAGTCCCCCCTCTGACGCCTGCGGCGGTGGTGGACAGGCGGCGGCTCCGCGACGACGACGATGGGCGACGACCACCCCCCGGCGTCACTACTGGGCCCCTCGCCGGCAGCGGCGCTGCTGGGCCCGGCGAGGGCCGGGTCGCTGGCCCCCGCGTACTGGCCCCTGCGCGAGGCCGCCCTCTCCTCCCGCCGCGCGGTCCGCAGCCGCTCCCGCTGCTCCCGCCGGTCCGCCCGCTGGTCCTCGGCGGCCCGCTGGAACAGGACAGCGTCGCGCCGCAGCCGGGCGAAGCCGCACGAGAGGGCAAATATGAAGGCGAGCACGGACAGCACTATGATGGCCATGACGCCCGGCGTTGGCACGTCAGCCTCGACGCGCCGCTGCAGCCGCGGGCCCGAGCCGAAGGGAGGAGGATTCGCCTCCATGCCTGCTGCTGCTGCTGCTGCTGCTGCTGCTGTTGCTGGCTGGGGATGCGGAATGCTCAGACTCGGAACAGGAGGATACGGTAAAGGTTGGAGACTGCGGGCGAGTGTGACGGCGGTGCTCGCTGGACGGCGGCCTGGCGCAGAGGGGCTCCGTGGGTGCTGATGACGGCTGAGCCGACGTTTCTCGCTGTCGGCGCTCCCCCGCGTCGAGGTCTGCGTCCACGGAAAGCTCGGGGAGGGACTTGCGGTGCCGGAGAGAATGGAGAGCTACGAGGGTGGCCTCTGATGGCAGGCTGGTGTAGTCGGCGCGCTGGGGATGGTGCTCGTTGGTGCGGCTGGGATTATTATCCCCCTTGTCGAGAGCGGCCGCTTCTTGTCGACGTTGGTCGGACCAGACCAGTAGACAGCTGATGAGAGGAATCGTCACAAGAACGATGGCAAATACAATGGCAAACCAAAAGATTATGCGACCATTTGGGTCACTCTCACCCGCGTAATAAATATTTGGAATATCAGTCGTGTTGTTCATAGTATCCAGCAGAAGCGGTCGACGTCTTCTTTACGCCCCTTTGTCAGTTCTTGTTCTGCTTCCCAAATAATCTTGCAACACCCCACTGTAATTACGCACCCCTTTTGTTCTCGCAAGGCCTAGAAACTGAAAAGACGAAGCCAGAAGATCAAAATCAAGACAATGAAGAGTACGCCGACGGCAATAAGTATCCCGGCGGCAACGGCGATCGACATGTGGCGTTTGCTTCAACCGAAAGGATGTGACAACTTTCGAGTATTAGTGAATAGTCTCATAACCTGTGAAGTATGGGAGACCAACTTACAGAAGTTCAGAAAGAGTCAAAAAGGCACCCTCCTAACGATGCCTCCTCCGAAAACAAAAGACACAGAGCCCAATGTGCACAAGAAGGCCCACGAAGAGAAGAAGCACTATCCCGAGACAGACGCTGGCGATGATTATGACCTGAAGCTCGGCCGACATGCGCCGATGCGTCGCGTCGAGCAGGTCCACGAGAACTAGCAGGACTGGCCTATATCGTTATGGCTTTGTGGGAGCTTTTGGCTACGGCGAAAGCACGTCGTGTACACAAAAGCGGCGAAGACGGTGAGGATCACGAAGCCGAAAGCAGCCAAGATGATGGCCAGGGAGATTTCGGCCGGCATGTGCTGCAACCTGTCCAGGTATCCGGTAGAGTCGGCGATACTGCCCGACGTAGCAGAGAGAGGGACGATATGTCGATTCGGGGGTCTGTGGGCAGATCCGAGTGCCCTAGGCCACAGGAGGAGTATGGCTCGTGTGCTGTACTACTTCTTCGCCAGGAGGCCGTTGGACCTCTGGCACTTGCAGGTATTTATACGAGGCCAGTCCAGGAAAAAAGGTCCTCCCCATTCCCTCGCCCAACGCGCTTCCCGCTGCATTGGTTCGGAGCCATCCGTGAAGGGAGCAGCCACAGCACCGGACCATGGGAGTCACCGCGTTCCACGGCAGCATGGTATTTCATGGAAGGATGTGCGATGTGAGGCCATGTGGTTGCTGCTGTATTCTGCGAGGTCTTTGTGCGCGGAAAGACTGTGTACAGATGGAAAGAGAGGAGAAAACGGCGATAAGCCGAAAAGAAAAAAGAAAAAAAAGCAGGCCATTCCTTCTAAAGGTGGCCCACCACGACGCGCCTGTAGTGAATGCAGCGCGGCTTTTCATAACACGAAAACCGCCAAGGGAAGCCACGCAGGAGGAATGTTTCCATGTCTGCCAAACCACAGAACTCTCAAGTCAAGTAAAGCCACGCATCAGCTCCCTCTCTTCACAGGGCGACGCCGATCTCGTGCGATGGCGTCCGCACAAGCCGCCCCCTCTCGCCGTCGCCGCCGCCGCCGCCGTCGTCTTTCCGCGCCGCCAGACAGTCCGTCTTCAGGATCGGGAACTTGAGGCTCGCAACGATGGCCTCGGTCGTCGCGCTCGCCAGCTCGTCCCCCATCCTCACCGTCAACGACTTCGTCGCCGCCGCCGCCGCCGCCGCCGTGTCGATGGGCGGCAGCAGCGTCCACCTGCGGCTGAAGTTGGGCCGCGGCGGCGGCGGCGGCAGGTTGGCCCGTCGCCGCCACCGCCACCGCCGCCATCGCAGGGGCCCGCGGCTGCTCGGCTATGGACGGCGACGACGACGACGACGACAAGGCCGGCGGGCATGGCGGGAGGCCCTCCTCGGCGCAGGGCCGCGAGCCGCGGCGGCGGCGGAGGCGGCGGCGGTGGAAGCCGCCGCCGGGGTGCTTGAGGGCCAGGAGGATGCTGAGGAGGATCACCACGCCCAGCCCGCCCAGCCCGACCACCAGCCCGACGGTGGTGGGGTAGGTGGGCCCCCCCTCGTGCGAGGGCAGCAGGTCGAGGTGGTCCCGCCGCCCGAGGCCGTGGGGCTTCATCCGGAGAGCGAGGGGGGGTAGTAGTAGGCGTGAGATTGGCGGCTGGACGACCTCTTGTTTGGCCGATATGGCAGCCTAGGTATAGCAGGTAGGGAAGGAAATATAGGTAACGCAGAGGGTGTCAGGCAACGAATCAACGTTTGGTCTAGATGGCGGTGGGAAATGAATGGAAACCTGCCAGAGAGAATTGAAGACGAAAACGAAGATGAAAAAAAAAAAAAGGCAAGATGACGAAAACAGAAACAAACAGCAAACTGAAAGACGAGGAAGGAGCGAAGCGGCCATAAAAAGTGCCCCTACCCATTCCATGACGAGCATACGCCCCATAACGCCCGTGTGCCGGACCAAGACGCCTCCTCCTCCCGCCCGGTCGAGGCCGTCTGTGCCACGGAGGCGGGCCCAAAGCTTGAAAAGCCTTCGCGGGCGGGAATAAAAAAGGCAAATTATGAACAAAGGCCACAGAACTAACGTAAAGCATTAGGATAAAAGAAACCCCCCCACCAAACCCTCTCCCTCTCCCTCCCCCCTCTAGCCGCGCCCAGCACCACCAGCTAGCAGCACCGAGAACCCCCCTCCTCCTCCCGCCGCCGCCGCCAGCGCCAACGCCGGCAGCGCCAGCACCAAGCCCAACACCAGCCCGAAGACGAAGCCCTCCCTCTGCGCCGCCACGCGCACGCGCGTCTGGGCGAGCCACAAGCCCAGCGCCGTCCCGCGCCTCGCGGACCTTAGGCCGGGCAGGCCGTCGAGGCTGTAGGCATTGTTTTGGCGCTGGTAGCGGATCCACTCGCCGCCCTCTTCCTTCTTGGCCGCCGACGTGTCCAGCGTCGACCTGTCCTCGAACACGGACGTCTCGTCCAGCAGCTGCTTCCTTTCTCCCCCTTCCTCCTTGTTCTCCTCGCTTCCGGCGTACAGCGCCCGCCTCACCATGGGCACGCCGTACCCGCACGCCGTCGTGACCTTCCACACGTCCAACACCACGATAGCGCGCGGCGACTTGGGCATCTCGAACCCCCCACGCCCCATGCCGGCCAGCAGCTCGACGAACCGGGCCTCGTCCACGCCCCACTCGACCACCTCGCGGGCGCGGCAGTAGAGGCGGAGGATCCTGGGCGACGGGCCCATGGACATGAACATGACGGTGGCGCGGCCGTTCTCGTACAGGTGCGCGATGGTCTCGCACCCGGACCCGGTCCGGTCGACGTAGGCGATTCGATTTGGGCCCAGGACCGCGAGCGTCGTGGACGGGAGGCCCTTGGGCGAGAGGTTGACGTGCCGGCCGTGCGTGGGCGCCGTGGCGACGAAGTAGACGGGCTGGCGGAGCGCCCAGGCCGTGAGGTCCGGGGTGAGTGCGGGGAAGACTTTCATGATGATGATGATGATGATGATGATGATGATGATGATGATGGGAGGAGTAGCGAGTTAGTGGTCATGTGCTCAAGGGGGTTTGGGTCGAGTTCGTGATTCTTGACGGCCTGCGTTGATGACAATCATAATGAGATTGTGGCCATGACAGCCAAGCACGCACGAGCAACAAAATGACTGCCTCGGCCAAAGAGGATGCGGCAGCAAGCCCATGCATCCGAACTCGGACAATCAATCCAACGCACCCCTCGGCCAAGGCGACCGTTAGGCCGCAATTGACTCACACTGCACGCACAGCACAACAAAAGACGAGGTGGGGCTGGGAAGCAGCTCTCATTGCATTGCAGCTCTAGCTAGGTATTCCAGAGCGCACAAGGGTCGCCGGCCGATTTGGCGGCGGCGACGTTTTTGTACCAACGTCACAAGAAAATAGGTAACCAAACCCGAAAGTCTATCCTAGCAAAACGACCAAGGAAACCGGATGTGGAACCTATACATGAATCTCGAGAGCGTGTGCAACAACATACATATCGACCCAGCACATAAACGAACAGTGGTCCGAGTATACCATAATGAGATGACACATAAAACATCAACGTACAACAAGCATCTCCATCAAAGTACATGCGATAGGAAAGAACATGACATGAAGAGGTGCGGGTAGGACGCGAGCCTCGAAAACAGTAGTCCCCGTCTATAAGTGAAACATGTAAGAGAGGACAGACATTTCCATGATTGAATCCCGAAATAGAAAAAGAAAGGTCGAACGAAAGGTGAGAAAGGTGAGAAAGGTGAAAAAGGAAATGGGAAAGTGGCTGAATAGGAAAGTGGCTGCATGGAGGGTGGATTATGGGAGGGGTAGTGAACAGAGGGTGCCAGAGACCTCAAGGAACAAGGACTGGAGCCTCATGACCCCATCAACCGACGCACCGGGTACACATCGCGAAGCTGGAGCCTGGCCGCAGTCCCAACACACTCGCGCGGGTGGGTTAGGGTGGCACGGCAAGCTGCGCTCCCGTCAACCCCACCGCACAGCCCAGGTGGGTAAGAGCCCATTGTGTCATTCCGCAGTGTTGGGTGTGTGTGTTGTGTGTGTGTGTGTTGGAGGCCTGGCGTGAGGGCGAGGCTCCAAGCAGCCAACCCAGGAGCCCCACCACACCACTCGGCAGGGACCCAAATGGCCCTAGCCCTGGTCTGGTGTGCCGTGGCGTTGGTTTGACAGTTGCCTGCTTCAGGCCATTTGACAGCTGGTCAATTGTTGGCCACTGCGTCATGTCTTGGCTTGGCTTGATTGGCGTCGCGCGCGGTCGCTGTGGCAGAAAGCGCCCATATTGATGATTTGTCGCGTCCAAATGCTTGTGTTGTTGTCGTGGCGAATGGGAAAGGAGAAAATGAGATTAAGGGGGGGGGGGGGGGGGGGGGGGGGTAGGTA